GGGCCAGGGCCTGAAGGGACAGCACAGTGTGGCACAGGCTGGTATGAGCCTGTGGCTTAGCATGGGACGTGGGCCTCCACCTGTGGAGCTGACGCCCCTCACGTGTTTCATGAGCAAGGTCCTCATGTCCTCCCAGATGCTCTCCAGACACCCAGGCCGGCACGCTGGCACGCTGATCCACCTGCAGCCCCTACACACAGCCTGCTCCTTTGCTTTCTCCTTCCCAGAGCAGGTGTGGCCTTAGCCTAGTGACTGTCCCCTCTGAGCCCCTCTCAGTCCCACCAGCTCCCCCCCTGCCATGCCGCCCCCTCCACCAGACAGCCGAGCTGGCGGTTTCTATCTGCAGTACGTTTGCCGGGAGAGGTCAAGCCAGGCCCAGGTCCCGTGAAGGCCCTGGGCCCTGGCTGTCATTTGAGGGAGACACAGATCGGGCCTTATGGGGTCATTCCCTCCAGTTCTGCCCCTCTGTCAACAGCCTGGGAGACCTTGGGAGAATTTAAATGAGACACTATAGAACATTTTCTTTCACCAGCTGCCTGGCCCTAGAAAACGCAAAAGTCTGAGAAGACTGTGGTTCCCAAGGCCCCTGAGTTGAGACGGTCTGGTGCTCACCTCACATCTGGGCAGTGCCTGAGACCAGGGCAGTCTTGAGCTGGGCACCCCTGAGGCTAACATTGCAGAGAGCCCCTGGGATCTTCCCTACCCCATAATCTTCCCTGTACCAGAGTCCAGGCACCACGGAACTCCAGCTGCCTCTCCACCCGCTTGGGGGCTTCCCAGCTTCCCCAGAGAAGGATGCGACATAGTCACGAGTCTTCCCTCTGCTCTCAGCCCATTGCCAGGAGCTTGATTTGATGAGGTCTGGGTGGGGTACCTGAGTCAGCTGAGCCAGAATTATGTGTGGTCACCAAGCACAGGGGAGACTTCTGCAGCTGAGCCCCCGAGGAGTGAGTGGGCACCAGAGGGAAAGCAACCCTAAGAGCAAACCCCTGGCTGAGGGAGGCCGGCCATGTCTGTGCGGACTAGAGGGCAGCACCCAGCTTCTGGCAGCAGAACCACTCCTAGCAGACGCCTGGCTTTGGCACCAAGAATCAGGATTGACTGGACTCTGAGCAGGATGGGAAAGTTACCCTCATTTGTCGGTAAATCCAGTCGGCAAACACTGTCACGTTCCCGTACACTCCTGGTCTGTTAGGCTTGGCACAGCCGGAGCCCCAGCTCGTGTCTCCCACCAACCACCAGACGCCATTCTTCAAAGTGACCAGAGGTCCTCCACTGTCACCCTGGGGGAGAGAGTAAGTTACTCAGAGCAGAAAATGAATTCACAGCCACTGGCTATGCCTGGAGGGACGATGGTAACAGATCTGATCTCCCAGAGAGACGACACCAGCTTCGATTTTAGTCTATACCAGCTAATAGTTACCAAATAAACTGCTTTTCATAGTTCAAAACAGTCTGTTCCATGGACACTTTCACCAAATACGGGTTTTCAGAGGGTACATGGCTAGCGTGTGGGATTCACGGCAACACTTGTTCCTGCCACCTGAAGCTCTCTTGCCGTTAGCACCTTCACTTCCCACAGCTGCCCCTGAGTTGGCTGTGTCCCCAGGGAGGCTCCAGTGACCAGGAAAGGCCTGTCTCTTAGGCGGTTCTCCACAGGAGCTGGGAAGGCCCAGAGGTTAGATGAAAACATGCAGTTACCTGGCAGGAGTCGACGGTGCCCTGTAGGTACCCTGCACAGACCATGGCAGGTGTGATCAGGTTGTTGTAGACGTATTTGCTGTTGCATTTCCAGGGCTCTATGAGGTACACCAGGGCAGCGTTCAGCACGTCCGAGGTCTTGCCTAAGGACAGGGGACTGGTTGAGCTCTCTCCCGCTGCTGGCACCAGCTGCACAGGAAGAACAGATTCCCCTCCCCTGGACCACCTACAATGCTGTAAACGGCCACGTCCCTGCCATCCTCTCTCCTCCCTCCCTCCATACTCCCTAACTCCAGGCCCTCTCCTGGGGATCAAGAGGTCTCTTGGGCCCAGGTTAATGCAGAGCAGGGGTTTGTCCTGAGGGGAAAAAACTACCTCCTTCTGGAATCTTCCACAGGGCCAGTCTTCCCATTCATCACTTGCTCTTCTCTGGACCATTCCCAGGACACAGGGGGCCCTTAGCCCACACAGCCCACCCGCGGTGGCCTGCACACAGGAACTGCTGGGGACATCGCCTGCACTTACTATTTCTGAGCCTGGCCCTCCTGCCCTCCACTGCCACTTGGAAGTCTTCTGGGCATCATGGGCTCAAGGCGTAAAAACAGAATCCCTCTCCATGCCCTCCTTCACCACAAATTCTCACCACCCAATACTCTATGGCTCCAGTCACGCAGCAAGAAGCCATCCTCTGCCACCGACCTCTCATTCTTCCCTGCTGACATTCAGTCCAGAAGCTCTAGCCCAGTGGCACCCTCGACTCTCCATGCTCACACCCCACCTGCTCTGAGCCACCAGCTTGCCTCAGGGGACCACAGCGACAGCCTTGTCATCATCGTCCTCATCTCCTCTTGTCCCTACCTTCTCGTCACACCACACACAATTGTCAGGTCACAGCTGTCCCCTCTGTGAGACCTCCCTGTCTCACACAAAGAGAAGCAGGGTCCTCATCACAGCCCATCTCCTCGACCTCCTGATTACTGGCCCTTCTGCTCTTGTCCATGCCTGACAGTCAGGCCTCAGTTCAAATGCCACCTCCTCCAAGAAGCCTTCCCTGACCACCCCGTCAAAGCAGCAGGGCCCCGTGCTAGCACCACCCTCTGCTGTCTGGAATCTCCCAGTTCAGTTGCCTCCCTGGGCATCTGCTCGCACTGCCCCAGAGCCACAGGGGAAGCATGTCTGCCTTGCTCTGTGCAATGGTGCATTCCCAGCACCAAGCAGTGCCCAACCCATCCCGGGTGGGCCACCAATATTTCTCGATGCTCCCTTTCATCTTGGATGGCCGTGAAGTCTTGCCCCCTTGGACCCCCAGCAGCAGTACATTTCTGCAGACAAGGTGACAGGATGACCTAACTCTCTCCCTAGGACTCTTCCTAATTTACCCACCCTTATACTTTTCCCCTTGTGTTGAAGGACTTGTATACATGAGCTAAACACTTCTTATAAGGATGTAAACCAGGGGGTTCTCAACCTTCCTAATGCCGCAGCCCTTTAATACAGTTTCTGTGGGTTACAACCCACAGGTTGAGAACTGCTGATGTAAACAGTATAGAAAATGCACCTTTGTACCGCCAAGTGCTTCCAGCCCCCATCAGTATGAAGCAGCCAGGACCCCTTCATCTAAAACCATCCTGGGGGAGGACACAAAGGGCAGCCAAAGGAGCTGGGCAAGCTGTATGGGGAAAGCTGCCTCCTGCTCTGTCCACCCCAGCAGAGGGACAAAGGCTTTGATGGAGTGAGGCTGGCCTTGTGGGTCACAGGGGCCCCCTCTCAGCCATGGTGGGACTTCCAGGTGGCCCACAGTGATAATGGGCACAAGCACAGGAGACTCTATAACTCCCACATTTATGTGGCCCTTGAACTCCAAAAAGCTGTTTCCACACACTGTTCCATTTGATCTTAGTAAGGACATTATGTGTTGGGGAGCGTGGGTACCATCATTCCCATTTAGCAGATGGAGAAACTGAGACACAAGAACTGGGGAATTGCCCAAAGTTATCCAGTCATTGAGTGGTAGAACTGGGATAAAACCCAGACCTCCCCTTCTGATCCCAGTGCTCTGTCTGCCAGCCCAGCAGACCAGCATGCCAGTTGCCTCACCTTTGTCCTTGGTTGACCCCCACCCAGAAATCCAGCAGGGCTGTTCCGGCTGCAGCATCAAGCCCAGGTTGGGCAGGCACACAGGTCTCACTTTGTCTGTTTCCAGAAGAGAAAACAGGTGAGCAAGGCCAGTCTCACTGAGGGCTTCGGCCATGGTCTCTGCCTGGCCCTTCCCCACGTAACTGCCGAACCCACATTCTCACTGCTGCCCCCCCACTCTGGCCCCTCCTTTCAGCATCAAGGTTTATGCTACTTGGCTAATTATAATTATATAATATATAAATATAATAATAATTAGCTAATTATTCACTAGCTCTGCTTCTAAAAATTCGTGATGTGTCCTCTGAGAAACAGAGGGTGGAAAAGACACTTGGGAGCCAATGGCTGAAAAGCCAGTGGCACCTGGCTTCTCCCTCGGAGGCCTAAGCTAGACACCACACCATCACCCAACAATTGGCTTGTCTCTGCGAGAACCGTCTCCCAACTCAAACATGAACACTTCGTGGGGTAGGATGAGGTTTGGCTTCTTCTGTACCCATGTGGGACTAGAACATTCCAGACCCTGAGTCACACTAGAGTGGTGGCCACATAAAAAGCTAAGGGAAAGCATATTTTTTTAAATTAGGCATCTTGCTTTCAGAACATATATTTTTCTAAAAATAAAGTATCTTCACAAATTATAGACCACATGCACTCAACCGGAGGCATCTTGGTTACTCTGAGGACATCTGGCAACGTCTGGAGAGAACACTGGTTGTCACATCTAGGGAAGCTGCTGATGTCCAGTGGCGGAGGCTGGTGGTGCTACTGAACACCCAGCTGTGCCCAGGACAACTGTCTGCAAATAACTGACTGGCCGCAAGGTCAAGAATACAGTGGAGCAGAACCCTATTCTAGGCTTTTCCACTGTGGCTTTTCACTGTGGCTTAAACCTCCAGTGGAGGACAGACGAGGGGCTGCTGCCTCCCTCCAAAGGCGGTAAGCGATGTGGTCTCTGCTGAGCCTCCTCTGTGGCCACCCCACTGTGCACCACCCTCGAGCCACGCACACCTCCCTTCTGTTCATCTCAGCCCAGGCTTTATTTCCAGTCAACAGCTCCTGGAGAGCCACACTTACCATTAAAAGTCAGGGGCGTCCGCAATTTCATGAGCGCAATGTCGTTGTTCTTGGTCTTGGAATCATAATTTGGATGAGGAATCACTTTTTCCACCCGGTTTCCACTTCCATAGAACATGAAGGATTGTCTCAGAATTCCCGCAAATGCTGTCCAGTGCCGTGGGTTGTTAAGAGGTCTAGGAGATAAAAACGAACCACTTAGCATCTTGGAGCCGCAAACACAAAACACTCATCTGATGAACTTCAAAAATCACAAGCCAGGCGGGGCCGAGTGGCTCACACCTATAATCCCAGCACTCTGGGAGGCTGAGGCAGGAGGATCAATTGAGCTCAGGATTTCCAGATCAGCCTGAGCAAGAGTGAGACTCCTCCAACTCCAGTAAAAATAGAAAACCTAGCCAGGTGTAGTGGCAAGTGCTGTAGTCTCAGCTACTCGGGAGACTGAGGCAGGAGAATGACTTGAGCCCAGGAGTTTGAGATTGCTATGAGCCGTGACACCATGGCACTCTACCCAGGCATAGAATGACACTCTGTCTCAAAATAATAATATAAATTTTAATTTTAATTTAAAAAAAGAAAACAAAAGTCATAAACTGGAGCCAAGATTCCCAGAGGTGAGTGGACTACCCAAAACCATCCTGCCAGACTCTTCAGCTGGTGGCTCGGCGCCTGCTCCCTGGCCCCGTCCACCCCACCTGCCCTCTTCCTCATTCTTAATGTACCTCACTAGAAACCCACTCCTCCTGGTTCTCCTGCACCAGCTCAACTGGACACTCCCTGTGGTTCCAAACACCATTTCCAGCAGGACTGGCTCTTACCTACCTTTATATGCCAGAGCATTCCCTGGCACACAGTAGGTGCTTTAATCAACGTGTCCTGATGAACAGACCTGAAGTCTAATATCAAAGGATGCCCTTTGTCTTCGTGTGTCCCTATTAAGAGACTCCCAATTGCTAGAGGGTGCTCAGACCCTGGGGAATGGGGGGCGGGGGGGACTCGTGGTGACAGCCCTTGCACCCTGCACTCCCCAGAGCCAGGAGTTACACTGGCTGAGCCTTTCTACTACAGAAAGGCACATCGGCTGAGCGAGACTTCCCCAAAATAGGCCTGTGATCAAAAACTATGTGTTTAAGAAAAAGGTGGAGAAGGGCACTATATCTCCCACAAAAGCTGCCACTATGCATTATGGCCACCCTCAGGCCCCCTGTCTACATGGGTAATGCCACAGCCAAGGATGCTTAGCCCAGAGAACCTTCCCGCAGGACAGCATGAAGTCCCTGAGTGTGTCTGAGGGTGCCCTCTCCCGGGTCAGCGTCCGGGACAGAGAAGCCCTCGAGGGGACAAGGATTTTTCACAGGGGTGGGACAGAGCAGGGAGGACGGCAGACTGGAAGGGACGCTGGCACAGCAGCTTCACTGGGCATTTCCTGCCAGGCCACATCCCAGCACCCAGAGCCCATGTACACATGCTGAGGGGTGGACACGGGTCACACGTCCCGGGTATTGGCTTACCCAGCCCCCATCAGTGCCAGAGCAGGCACCTGTACTGCCCCCATTTCTGCACAAAGACCCTGGGGCTTCCAAAGGTTGCCAGGCATCAGGAGTGTGCCCTGGCGCCTGCTGCCCCCCATCACCCTGCGCTCCAGGACCTACTCTTCCACGCAGTGTGCAGCCGTCACGATCCACTCAGGGGTGATGATGGAGCCTCCACACACGTGGAAATTCTGGACATGCAGGCTGACCTGCCAGGGCCAGTCCCCCAGGTTGGCGCCCGAGCCACCCACAATCCTGCTGTGGCTGCTCGTGTTCCAGGTGGCCCCGCATGCTGAGGACGACAAGCAAAGGCCAGCAGGCCCCTGAGACCAGCAGCAGGAGCCACCATGACACAGCCAGCCCCCGCCCAGCCCTAACCAGGTGCCACCCTCCCAGGGTCCCAGGGCTGCTACCAAAATTCCCTTTGTTGGAGTCTCACTTAGAGGACTCAGCTGGGCTCTTTTCATTGGGAAAAGGACAGTCCCCAGCCTGCACAAGCCCCCAGGAAGCACCACTTCCCTGCAGGAACCCCTGAGACTCCACTGGTGCTCCCTACCAGGTGAGAGTCTTGGAGGGAGTGATGGCATCCCCAAATTCTTAACCAGAAAAAAAGAAGATGGAGCAGGGCCAGGCTAGGAGTGAGTGAAAGGTGGGTAAGTGAATGATGGGGTTGAGTGAGGAGTGGGAAGGTGAAGAGTGGGAGAGTGAGTAAGAGGTAGGTGAGGTTTAGATGGGTGGGTGAGTGAGGGGTGGGTGAGGTTAGATGGGTGGGTGAGGGTTAGATGGGTGGGTGAGTGAGGGGTGGGTGAGTGAGAGGTAGGTGAGTGAGGGGTGGGTGAGGGTTAGATGGGGATGGCCTCAAAGTCATACCTGTCCTATTGCCACGTGTTCCTCCGGGGCTAACCCATCTGGTGGGTGGGCAGAGGGGACTCCTGAGAAAGCCCCAAATCCACCCAAGCCAGGGAAGGAGATATGGTGTTTGGGGCATTTGAGGTCCTAGCACTTCCCCAAAGAAGTCTCCACAGTGGCAATCGCTGGCCAAGCCCCCACCCAGTCCTGTCCCCAGTCACTGGCAGAAGCTCAGTGGACTCCCCCAACAACCCGCAATTTACCTGCCACCTGCAGAGCGCCCTGGTGTCGGGGTCTCTGCTCCCCATGAGGTGGGCTTGGGGCAGAGGGCAGGCCACTTGGGGCTACTGGACACCGACTCAGGCCCTAAAGAGAACCCGAGCTTGGCCTTGCCGGGAAGTGCCCGCACCTGTTCCTTCCACCTCTTCTAATGGAAGGCTGAGCTCAGGCCCACAGTCCCAGGACCGGACTGGGCCAGCCCAGAGAAGGAAGGACAGGGACAGTCCCTTTGCTATTTATAAATAGTTTGGAAACAATGCCAACACTGAGGTGGGGACACCGAAATCTCAGCCACTGAACAAAACAAGGAGGGACTGGCCCAGAGACCAGGGGTCCCTGTGGCTGGTGAGCACCTAAAGGCCACAGCCTGCTGGGATGTATGGCAAATGCTTCAGATCCACCAAGGGGCAGCCACCAGAGCCAGCTAAGCCATGTCCTTCGTTGCTGGGGAAGGAGCCCATAGGCCTCCATCTTAGGCAGCCGAGCCACAGAAAACGGGGCCTTGTAGGTTTCCTAAGCTGCCTGTCCTCAGGGATGCTCTCAGACCCAAGTGAAGCCCTCAAAAGTGTATCAGCATTTGGCTCGGCGCCCACAGTGCAGTGGTTATGGTGTCAGCCACATGCACTGAAGGTGGTGGGTTCGAACCCAGCCCCTGCCAACTAAACAATTGCAACAACAAAATAAAACAGCCAGGCGTGTGGCAGGTTCCTATAGTCCCACCTACTTGGGAAGCTGAGGCAAGAGAATCACTTGAGCCCAAGAATTGGAAGTTACTGTGAGCTGTGGTGCCAAAGCACTCTACCCAGGGTGACATAGTGAGACTCTGTCTCAAAAAAAAATTATATCAATATTCAAAAAAAAGGAGCTCCTTGGACAGAGCAAGAGGCCTCCTGGCACACTCTTCCCTCTCTACCTACCCTAAAGACGCAGGGGACACTTTTCCTGAGAACACAGTTTCCTGGTTAGAAATATTTTAAAAGGAGAACTGAGAAATACTTACCTATACAGCGCAAAGAAACCACCTTTTTTGAAGAACAGGTATTACTAAATAGGAAGAAGGGAGAACTCTATTAATGGTCACTAATAAAGGAGGGGGTGACTGACTCTCAAATATTTAGAAATGAATATTTGCTTCCAACATTCTCTCCCCTGTCTCCCCAGACATAGAAAGACCCAGGACTGAAGACCCAGCAGGTAAGCGACCTGAACAGGGTGATGGCAAAGGGCAGACAAGTTCCCTGTTCACAGCTGCTGTGTGACCTTGGGCAAGGTACTTAGCTTCTCTGTGCCAATTTTCCCTCATCAATAAAATGGGATAATATCTGTACCAACTCATAGGGTGCTTGTGAGGGTCAGCATATAGTAATGTTAGTTTTAATTTTTATTCTTGGAATTTAATCCTCTAACTTTGGGAGCTGTTTGGAAACCCATGGGTCCATGTGACCGCTGGACACCTACAACATGGAAAGCCGTATGACTGATAATTTGCCTGGGAGCAGAGAAGGACTGAGTTACTCATCTGGGAGTCAAACATCCCAGTTATGGCAGAAAGAGAGTCTGGCAGTGGCTCTCCCTGTACACTGAGATGGAAAGAGGTGGTCCTGACCGGCAGAGGACAGCTGCTGTGTGTCTGCAGAACATAACCCATGTCAGCAGGCATCAACACTGGCCGAGGCCACACTGCCACTGAGGTGAGCAAGGCACAAACAAGCTGCTCTGAAATCCCGACTTAGCAGACGGAATAATGAGCCCACACCCCCCATCCTGGCCAACTTGAGTGACTGAGGCCTTTCCCAACCATAGCCTCAGGCTGGCTTCATTCCAACCTCCTAGAAAAGAAATAATAAGGCAGCCACCACAGAATTACTCCTGCTTCCGGAGTAATTTGCTTCCAACCCCAAGCAAAGCCCCGTTGCCCTGAACCTCTCCCAAAGCAGCTAACACAAGCCCAGGTCCTAACACAGGTCCTTCCTGACCCCTCTTACGGAGGGAGAGGCCCTGCGTCCTCAGTGACTACAGGTCTGTCCCTTGTGGACTTCAGCTCTAGGGCACTGAGAGCGCCAAGCAGAGACATGCTCCCCTTAAGAGAAGACCTTCTCTAAGAGTCTTAAGGTGGACAGGACACCTTAGGTGCAGCCACCGGCACTGGGCACAACAGAGACTCAAGTCTGAAAGGGCAGCTGCTGAAAGTGGAGAGGAAGAGAAGCCCCCGTCCCTGCCTCCTGGACAGAACAGCAGACAATGACCTTCTCTTCTTTCTTCCAAACCCTCCAGCCACCTGTGAGTTCCCAAGGCTCCTGCCAAGGGTGGCAGCCTCCTCTCCCCTCTCCCACCTCCTGCCCCCACCAGCCTGGCATTTTCTTGGCTCCCTGATTTCTTCTGTGTAACCAAGGAAGACAAAGAACCACTCAGCCTTTACAAAGCACTGGGCAGCTGTGTTTAGCTTCTCAGCAGGAAACCACAAACCTCAGCCCCACTGTTCTGATGGGTTTACCCGACTACTCCTGTCACATTCCCAGGGACTGTCCCCCAGACACCTCAGCCTGTGGCCTCCAGGAATGTCAACCTGCTCCCAGCCTCCCACTCAGAGGAAAGGTGGGGCGGTGCTGAGATGCACACCTGGCCCCTGGAGGGCAGGCAGGCGTGCCCGGCACCTGGGCACAAGCACCCAGACCCAGGAAGTGAGAAGAAAAGGATGCTGTGTCTCTTTGACATCAATCACCGTCCAGGCAATGGCAGTGCTCCTAAGAAGTTGCAGACATGTGAAACACATACAAACCAAAATGAGTGGCCTAAGTCCTCCCCCTCAGCCGTCTTCCTGCCCACTTCAGCCATGTGACCTAAGCTTTGAGTTTATTCCTACCCACCAGACATACTGTGACCTGTCCAAGGCCAAAAGTCAGGTTTGAGGTGCAGGAAAATTTGCTAAATTGCACTAGCCACTTGCCCCCAGGCCTCCAGAGCACTGCCCACCCTTGCATGATGCCTCCTGACACTGTTCTTGTGAGTCAGGCCTCAGGGGACCGGCCACCCTCGGAAGCAGCAACACCCCTAGCAAACCAGGATGAGCCAGTCACCCCAGTCAGGACCCTGAGATGTACTTTTGGGTTCCTAGACCCTCCACGGACACAGCAGGTGTTTCCCTAATGTATGGAAGAGAAGGGAAAGAAAGAAAGAGAGTTCTCCAGTTTGCGGGTTCCTCCCGTGAGGGCACACAGCTACTGAGAACAAATGCCAGTCGAGAGGCCTCAGCCTCTGCCGTGAGTAGACGCAAGTCTGTGTGGACTGACCAGTCCTGGTCGGACTCTAGCGTCCTCCCAGTGCGGAGCTCAGCCAGGCCCCGACGTGCAGCTGGGAAGAATCAAACTCAGGATGTGATTCCCCTGGCCTGGCACCCCCAGGGAGCCTCCTCACAGAATGTTTCAAAGAAAGAAAGACATCACCACATACCTGTGGTATAGTTTTTTATAGAGTTCGATGTTGCCAGCACTTTTGTTCAGTTTCATAAAGTCTGAGGCACCAGTGTCATCTGTTATTCCTTGGCTAGAATAAAAACTATTCCTAAAAAAGACAGGAAACCTCATTTACAGTGGCCAGGTCACAAGCAAGCACAATTCCTAAGCTGCATCATTATATTTTCCATGTGTGATGTTCAGAATAAGAGGAAAACCTTAGCATTTTGGAAAACGAAATCACACATTCTAAATGAGTGACACCGTGTTGCAACTATTACGACCCAATATCCATGAGGTGTCAGTTACAGCCCCTCCATTGGTCCCATTTCTAATCAAATTTGGGTGAGTACGAAGGCATGATAAGAATCGGATGTATGAGCACTTAATCATACATACATA